AGCATAGTGTGAGCATTCAGAAGGTACTGCCCAATGATAAATTTACCTACCCCAGGCTCTGCTGGATGAAAAACTGCCAGTTTTCCCGGGGTGTGCTTCAGTGGACTTAGGGAGGACCAGAGACAGCCCGGAACTTGTTTTGTATTGTGAAGCAATGCTAGTGCCAGAACCAGAGTAGGCCAGGTGCAGANAAAGAAAGAAAGAAACTAGACTGTCAAACATTCCTGGTGTCTGCTGTGTCTGGAGAGCAGACAGGAAAAATATTTGGCTTGTACAAGGAATAATTGACCTTGTCAATTCTGGGAAAATAACTTGCTGGCATCCTGGGTCATTCTCCTAAAAATATGTATGGTGGGATTATCTCTTACATAGAGCTTACTCTTTTGTAATGCATCCTAGGTGCTAAGGTATTTTCCAGAGGGCTTTTGTTTGGAGAGAGCTCTTGGCTTCTTCCAAAAGTGGTCTGTTAAGAACTATTACGGATTCCAGTGAACCCACTTCCTACAGGCTGCTTGGCAGTTTTGGGGGCCACTTGTTTCAGGGCTATTTATTTACCGGACTGTCATTACTTCTAACGTTTCCTACTGTTGGTCTGAATTGGGTCAACTGACAGCATCTGTAGACTGGAGAGGCCAAACTTAAACAAAATGACCACATTTGGTTTCCAGGTTTTCCTGGGAACTTCCATCTGAAAATATACCTTTCTGTCCTGGCTTGTGGGCTAAGGTCAGATTCAGCCAGTATTGCTGCTTTGTCTAGCATTGGCACAAAGCATTTTGATATCTTCTTGTTTTGAATCTTCATAAGCCTGTATAGCAGCTGGAGTTATCCCATTTGGCAGATTAGGAGAGAACTGTCAGGGAGGTTAGGTAATTTGCCAAAGGACACAAAAGTAGAAGACCAGGATTTAACAAAATCTCCCCCAAGTATACAGTAACACTTTGAGAGTAGGATATCAAAAACTGAGTATCGATAGCATGTGCTTAGAGACCAGAGCACCAGGATTTTCCTGTGATTATTTGGCTACCCTGAATTGTAGGTGCTGGGGATACAAACAAAGAAAACCAGTGCTAATTTCACTGGTTTGGTTTTTGATTATGTCAGAGGGTGTTTCTTTTGTATCCTTGATTGTAGTCTCCAATCCACCATCTGTTCCCTCATAATGGCTTCTTGGTATAGGAATTATAGAGAAAGAATTAGGTTCTGTCAAGAGACTTGTATGTCATTTTCTGTATCACATCTGTACCAAGGGAGCCCAGAATATACCTCACAAAAGTTGATATAGCATAGTGTGAGCATTCAGAAGGTACTGCCCAATGATAAATTTACCTACCCCAGGCTCTGCTGGATGAAAAACTGCCAGTTTTCCC